TACGCTCCATCTGCCTGCGGTAGTGATATTGGTCGTTAGCAAGAAGCTTTTTTGCTAATTCACGACAGATGCTAAATTTTTCATACCATAAGCCGAGCCTCGTTTTTTTATATAATCTGTGGTAACGTAATTTTAATCTCAAGTAATATCGCAAATCTTTGGAAAACCACTTAGGGTACTTCTCTGGGCGGTTGGTGCGCTGGGGAACAAACAAGTTCATGGCATCATTGACTACCGCTGTGAAACTATCCACCATCGAATCTACGTCAGAGCATTGTAAGACATCAGTCCAATCATATTGTTCAAAATATTTGTATAAACTAAAGTAATCGCCAGCGCTGTACGCGTATCGTAGTGCACCAGACGAAACTCTTGACCTTAGAAACATAGAAAACGAAACCGTAAGGGGAGGATGATAAGCATCAGGGGTGACCAGCGGATCGTCTACACGAGCCACTTTCGAAGTAGGAATGTTAGATAAAACCAGATCAAGAATGTTACCGGAACAGTTCACGAACAGGTTGTGTTGTGTAAAATCATTAAAATCTATGAAGTTAAACAAACAAGACGCTTTTTGACGTGTGCAGGAGCTTTCACTGTTAATACGACCATTAATCCAGTCAACTTTCGGTAGATTAAAATCCCCGTATAGTTGCACGCGATATTTAGTGACGTCTATTTCATTTTCAAGAAAATTAAAGTGGCTTACAAAGAGAGCCGCATCTGAAGCGGGAGGGAAATAATATGCTCCAATTAGAAAGTTGAACCCGTCACCAGACGGTATCTCGACCCAGACGGATTCTTGATAGGTTTCCAAATCATTTCGCCTATGTGCATTCAGTGATTGTTTGCAAGCTATCAATACACCACCTCCATATTTTATCCCGGAAGTATAATCACGATCTCTACGAAACACAGTAAAGGCAGGTGTAAAATATTCACTATTCGCAATGCCGTCATGAAGCCATGTTTCTGACAATATGACAATATCGTAATCGGTACCTAGCAGATTGGACATAAATTCATCCAATTTTGTTCTAAGGCCGCGGACATTTTGATAGTAAACGTTAAGATTTTGAGCCATGAGTACCTTGGGTTAAACTTTCCGCTGCAACCACGTAATGCCGGGAATTAGGTAACCTCCCCAAAAAAGGGCGAAAAAGAGAGCCATCTGGCCAGACGTCTGAGTTATTTAACACTTGCAACGACTCCTCGTCAACGGCAAGATGGAACGAGTTATACGTGGGGTATTTTGTTTTAAGTTGCGTGTAAATCACTGGCTTGTCCCCGATAACAGTTGATGCTATAAATTCGACGTCAGTGACGCTAGTGGATGGGTCCAGACGGGACACAAACAAGCCTTTGGAAGGTGGTGGGCGAGGCACCGCTTTGACGGTGCAATTCTTGGCTTGACCAAATGAGGCCTGAGGCCTTGGACGGCGCTCCTGGTTAGCTCGCGGGAAACCCGCGTTGTGGGCCATGCTGGTAGACTCACCGTTGCCTGGAGGTGCCGACGAGAACGGTGCCCTCTGAGCTCCGACATTCCCAGGATTATCGCGGGATAGTCCCCAAGGTGGGGCTAGGGGCCGGGGAGCCAACGCCACAGACGCATAGGATGGTTTCGCCGGCGGCGAGCCGGCGGGTGCCGCGTCCTCGGGGGAAACCGCGATTGCTTGTTGCGCAGCTGTCTGGCTCACAACCGCTTGGCGAAGTTGAGCGACTTCCACCCGAAGCGCACTGTTGTCCGCACGTAGAAGCTTGATCTCGGCCGTCAAAATATCCAGCCGAGACGTTAGCCTCAGCAGCAGGCCATAAACTTCTGACGAAACTGCAGCCTGTGAAGTGTCAGCGCTGTCCCCTCCGTTGATGCTGAATCCCGTCTCGCCATCGGTGGGCGTCGCTCCGCTGTCATCAGCATTTTCGCTGATAAGCCTTGTCGACGAAGGATCGCGGCGCCTTGAACAATCGCTGCATTTGTAGCTGCTTTTTCCGGATTGCATGAAGACATCGTATTCCTCGGCCAGCACATTGAGGCACTTACAGTGGAAGCGGCGAGAGCATGATGAGCAGCGCAAATATTGCTGTCTGCCGTAAAACGGGGCGGAGCAGCAACTGCACTGATTCGTACTCGGCGCCATTCGCGCGTCGAATGGCGCCGAGTTATGTAAAGCCTTCTCGAAGAATTCACGTTTGGTATTAAGAAGAGGTTGCGTCCATTGAACATTATCGAAAAATTCATTGGTTAATTTGTTTAATGTTGAGGTTGATGCAGTTAGTAAAGTATTGCGCAATTATAAACATAACGTTAGACATGTCGGGATTACAATCGGTTTGGTTCTCAGAGCTCTAGTGATGCAAGTGCAGGACGTTTTAAAGAAGCCGAGGTAGGGCTTGACTTGACCTTCTTTGTCCTGACTCTGGGTGTATTGGCCCCAATTCGCCAGACAAGGGCTAAAGTTAGGCTTTTACTTTGGCTGTGACCTGCATTATGGGCCTAAATCACCAAACAAGTGCCAGAGTTAGGCTCCACTTGAGGTTTTTAGGTTGTCAAGCGGCAACGTTTGGACTCCATTGCCAGACTAGTGTCACATTTAGGCTTCACAGCTGCTTCTTCGGCTTCTACATGACATTTTGGGCTCAAGTGTGACACTTTTAAAATCATATGACGAGCCAGAGAAAATCCATAAAAACGCAAAAGAAAGTACTTTGGTACAAACCAAGTATTTGCAGCAAAGCCGTATTAGGATCAAGTTAGGTATTTAGCATTTCTAAGCTTGTGCGAAGTCAGGCATTTTTCTAAAGCATGCTACGCGGGCAGAAGTCTCTCTAAAAAATGAATTATTGATGTCAAGTTTCAGAGCGACAAAAAGAATACTCCCGCAGCAAACCCGTTATGGTTAAACTTTAGAACATGTAATCGATCAAAAAATGTGTCCTGGGGGAAGTCATTATTGGGTTTAATTATATCTAGATTCTGCCTGTTTTTCTACTGTTTCTTTTTTATTTCAAAGATACATCCAAAACCCGTGGCCGCCTGACGGGGCCCATAACCAATAGGTCTGATATAGTACAACTCGTATATATAGATTGACTTAAACAGCGCAGTCAAGTTAAGGAAAGAAAATACAATAGGAAGGAAAGAGCTCTGACTCACAACTGAGGCTTTAATTAAGAGGTAGTAAAAAAGAAGAAAAATTTCAAGTGCGGTAATATTAATAAGGTAAGAAAGGGAGAGGAAGTAAGTGACAAAAATTAACCTCTCTGTAAGAGCCATATTAAAGGAATGACAATTTACGTTATTAACCAAACCCAAGTGAATATATCTACGTACAATTATACACATGTGAACTGCGAAGTTGACGGTCACCCAAAGGGTACAGGCAGTCAGAAGCAGGAAAAAAGAACGACAAAGTTGGAGGTGACCCAAAGTGCTTTCGCAAGAAGGAGAAAAGAAGAAATATAACAATAATTTAGGAACTAAAATTCAAAAATTCGACCTCCTTCTCCGTCAGAGCAATTGAAGGCGTACTTATAAAGTCCAAGCCCTTATTCGCAATCAAGGCTAGAAGGGCAAGCTCATAGCGTTGGCAGCTGCCCTTAATGCACCAGAGCTTGTGCCGCCGAGATGTGCACTGGAGCATGGAGCTCGCGTTGTAGCCTTTACTGCGGTACATCATAAGGTGAAACGGAGTATAGTCTTTTGTTCCTTAAAATGTTTAAGCACCTTTGTCTCAGCAAACACTGGTGCGCACCCTTTTTTACTACTTCTTCATTAAAACCTCAGTTGTGAGTCAGCGCTCTTTCCTTTCTGTTGTCTCTTCCTCCCTTACCTTGTTTGCGCTGTTTAAGTCAATATGTCTCACGATCTCGCCCAGCAAGCCATTTCGATACGTATATACAGCACTATTTAAATGACAATAATGAACGAGACAAGAAACATTCAGCATCGAGGTATGCAAATATGCAAGGAACAAAATAGTACAGGATGAAACTCAATTAAAACATGCCATAAAATTCCCCAATCGTCGAAAATTAAGAAACACATGTCAAAACTTAGTCATGATCACTATTATAAGGCGGAAGCCAAATGCCTAAATAGTGCATCGAAAATAATAAAAAATATATTATTTCTTATAGACATTTGAAAATAAACACCCTACAGAACTAAAAAATAATAATAATTTGCAATTTATTTTAAAATAATAGGTTCCATAAAACTACTTGCACATAAACGCAACAGTCAAAAATTTTGAAAAAGAAATAAAAATAAAGCGAAAGGAGGCTTTCTTTTCCAAATCATAAAACTTCAGAGTAGTTTCGTAAATAATGACGCCATATATATAAAACAAAAATATTGCATGTCGTAACACAATGTTAAATTAGCAGAATACTATGAAGTGCGTTCGATATGGCGCGTGGTGCTACAGCGAAAAAACAATGGCCGCACAATGCAATATGATAAAAGTCTATATCTTTATGGTACATTTCGGAAGCTTTTGATATATAGACGTATTATAGTGGTATGTACACATATCAAGCTCATGTCTTTGCACTGCATTGTTAAAGCCTATTAGATAAGGACACATGTTATTATTGCGACTGGCTCAGAATGTTCTATGCTCTCAAGTTTATTATTGTTTCTTAAAACGTGTCGCTACTGCATAATATAGCCTCGCGATGGACTTTTTAAAGTTTTAAGAATTTTGAACTTTACCATAATGAACTGTGCTTTTCGAGAAAAATATCACTTAAGCAAGACACTTCCTTGGGGACAAATTTAGAGTGTAGTATTTGGTCAAAATTTGTTTAAAATCAATATTTTAGATAACTTAAATCAATTTTTACAACGAGAACCTTGTACCTCTTTGCTGAAGAAGTTATTGGAGCATCTGGAGTGTGAGTTATCTATTTCTAATGCTGGTCTCTACAAATTGAGAGTATTGAGAGTATAACAAAACCCGAGCAACAATCTAAGATTTTTTTCTACTTATGTGGTACAGATATGAGACGCTGGCACAGTCAAGCCTCGCTGTGAAAACAAGAATAATGCCCCTGCGTCTGCAGTGCGTAGCCTGTCCAATTCTGTTGAGTTGCCTTGGTTTCTATCTGGCCAACGCGGCAGCTGCAGCAAGGGACCAGGAGGAAGGAACTCCGGTAGATGTATTAAAGGTAGTTCACCCTTGGATTTATGTTCATCCTAGAAGAATATTTTGATAAGGTCAACTGTGTACGGAACTGCTAGACGTATGGCTTTATTCGTCATTCCATAAAAATAAAAACTGATTCAGTAGTTACCACAACGTATACTGAAATAGTTTGAAATTCTTATAATAGTTTAGATGAACACTAAATATACAATATATATTCCCCGTATATAGAAAGAAACATGTTTATTATCCAGATAAATCAAATTTAAAGGTCACACTCCTGTTTAATTACTAAGGATAGAACATTGTATTAATAACTCTAGAAATGATTCATTATTGACAAAAAACCAATTGACTAACAAGCTACTTCCGGGTTTTCTATTAGGGAACTTGTTAACTTGTCAAGGTTCTGCATATTTAAGAATGTGCTTTGTAAATAAAAAGAAGAGGAAGTCATCTCAAGAGTGCGTGGCATAGCAATAAGTTAACAATACGTGTTCAGGATAATCATGAGCTATGCGATGTGTATTACTGAAATTAAAACAATAAAATATTTTCTGCTTGCGAACGATGAAATCAATTTCTAAAATATGTACTTGTTTGTTGTCAAAAGACGTAAGTGGAATGGAATATTAAATTCTGCTTACTATATGAAGTTAAGTTATTCGTGAGTGAACCTTAGAGCCGTGTGTATAAAAACTCGAGATGTAACTAAAGCGTGGGCTAATGCCACTGATACGCGAACACACGGTCATATCGGCGATAATTCCAGTCTTCTGTTCACAACCTACAACACTGCAGCCATCACGATGTTGCTGCTATGTTGCTGACACGAAGCAATACAGAACCACGTTGAACGCCGGTTGCACTCGGCATCGGAAAACAGAACCGAACTCAGCACGGAAGGCACCCAGGCAGCCGGCAGTCTTGGACGCAGTTCCTGCGATTACCATAACGTCGAAAACGTCGACATGTTCCGCGTGGTTTTGCTACTGTAGTTTCGTGCCGCGTGAGTTTCGCAATCCGGAGACGGCCATCTTAACAAAGAGCCCTATATAGCTCCTTCGGAGCGGAATAGCGCAATCGAGAACGCCATCTCTCGGCGACTAGCGGCGAACGCCCGAGGGTTCCAACTCCGGTCACAAATGCATGGGGATCGTGAGGAAATCGCAGTTTCTTGAATATTTTAGGGATATACGGAACGACAATAGTTTTTGACATAATACAGCAACAGTTTACAATAATTTGCGCTAAGTTGTGTGCCATGTAATAACGTAATTTGTTTTGCAAAATGCTTGAGCGGCATTATGCAGCAGACGACGCGGCGACGTCACACCGTTCACGTGACCCGCTCCGGCCAATCCATAAACTCCATCTCCGCTGTGCAAAACAATCGTCTGCTTCAAACGCCAATGCCTTGGAAATTGCCGTCTCACAATTTTCACAGGCATCCAATATTATTAAAACTTTGATAAAGTGTTTAGGGCTTCACCAACTTCACGCCAGACAAGTTTCGAAAAGTGTGAACTCGGCGTTTATTTGTTATTCAGCCGTGTTGAGTCGATCTCCATGTATTCTCCCATAGAGCGGACCGCCTCTCGGAACCCTGGGATATTACGTGACTCGCGCCGAGCTGCTGCGTCCGCCATGTTGTCGGCGAAACACGCGGATAAGGATTGCGATACTCTGCTCTGTAGGAGCCATATAGTGGTCTAATCTTAACCAGTGTACGTGGCGTTGCTGGCACTGCTCCGAAACTTCGCTGTTTATAGCGGCTACGTTTGCTCGTTTGATAAAAATAGTGATAAAAACGTCAATGCAACCGAAATGTTCTGCACGTTTAGACTAGAAGACGGAATTTCAGGCAGCCTTCGCTGCTGCTGAAGCTCAATCAACTCAAAAGCTATTTATTAAACAACGTGCGCGACCTGCTCGAAAAATGAAACCGAAAGAAGATGAGTAGGGAGGGCCGAAAGGCTTTCTCCCGTCTGCCTGGAGAAGAAGAATAACGCTTCGTTCCTCCCCTTTTCTCGTGTCCGCTTGGGGGCGCGTCAGTAGAAGGGAGGAAGACGCGCCGTTGCTACTTGTTTCCTCCATTTTTTCTTAGAGTGTGGGAGCTTAATTCTTCTGAAACTAGCTCTTCAGGTAACTTATTCCAGTTAAGTATAGAGCATGGGGAAAAATTAATAGTGAAATATGTTAGTTCTATTTGCAAAGGGTCTAAGTTTCGGTGTGATCAAGTCGCTGAGATAAAGTGAGGCGGAACTAAATACTTTGTTCGGTCGATTCCACAATGAGTGTGATATTGTTACGAATGAGAAATGATGAGGCGGCTATTACCTGAAGAAACTAAACGTTTAGTGGGGCGAACTCGGGCCCAAAACAACATAAAAGAAGGGTAGAGTCGCAATCATCGAAGTTGGCGAAACAGCAGGACCGAGCACTGGGTCGAGACTGGCCTTGGACCGCCACACGTAGAACAATTTCTACGCGGGGGGGGGGGGGGGGGGGGGGGTATCCGGAACCTCCCACGTGGAACGTTTGGCGCGTAGAGCATTCTTACCTCAATCAGACGACAAGTTTCTCGAACTTACGAGAACGCTAAATTTAAAGTATGTATAAAAAAAGCAGCAGTTCCCAGGAATAAAACCTGGGGCCGATGCGCGAAAGCCAACCACGGGAAGCATTCGGCCACGTACACTCTCGCTAGGCGACGCGCTTCGAAGTACTCCCCTCTTTTAAGAAGAGCATCGCCGCGATGCAACACGAAACATATAAAAGCAAGAAAAAAAAACGAAAGACGTTTACAATCCCCTGTAATGCCGAATTAGAGCGCAGCTCTTGAGTAGGAGGAGGGAAGGTACGGGGACGAGCGTATGCCCCTCCTCCTCTCTTGCGCGCCTCCCGTCTAGAGGAAAATTTTCCGCCAAATTTAGAGGAGAGTTAGCGGAAAGCATTTTACGCTAAATTTGGCGGAAAGTTTTCCCGCTAAGTTTAGCGGGAAAATTTTATGCTAAATTTAGCGGCTAAGTTTTCCCGTTAAATTTAGCGGGGAAATTTTTTCGTTATTTTCGGCGGCGAATTTTTTTCCGTTTACTGAAGGCGTCGCGTGATATGTGCATGGAATTAGAGGAGTCGAACTAAACGGTTCAGCAACTCCAGGAGTGATAATCGGCCCGGTGTTTTTATTCCCAGGAGCTGAAAGGAATAGTATTATCGAAAACTAATTCCTGGAAATAGAGTTGGGATGGAATGTGTGTGATCATCCCACAACACTGGTAGCTGCTAAAACCACTGACGCATAATTGCCTTCCTCGCCTGCCACCCGAACACAAATAAATAGTAACATACAGACTACCAAAACCTCGCAAGGCGATTGCCTAATCGGTCTCCGTCGCAGTGGCAATCGCCATTTTGGGCCCCCTCGAAGCTTCGAGGGGGTTGTTCCAATCTAGTCGCATCAAAATTCCCATTCAACATCTTCGCCCAAAGCGTTTCTCGCCAATACAAGCGTCTTTGGCACTGTGATGCAATCAACTTATCAATCATGCCAATCTCCACAGATCTCTTACAATTGTGTCTTCTTGCGTATTTAAAGACAAGAAAATTATTTTTAATGCCTCCAAGCGCCGGCACCGGATGTAGTGGTGATACGACAACGTACGCTTGCTTCGCTTATTTTCGGACAGCAAAATTTCGGTATAGAAAAAACGTATTTATAAAGCTACCCGCGACCAGCGAATTTAGATCGGCTCACCAAGAATGGAGATGTCAAGTAGAAATTGCTTATTTCATGAGCGAAAATGGTGACCTTACAGGGAGCTTGGTGCTACTTTTTTACGATCCAGTCACTTTAGTCGCTGCCACCGCCATTGGGCCCACCATGACCGCCGGCGAGGCGTCGCTCAACTCGTTCCGATTTTTTGTCGTGGTTCATCGACGGTTTGTCCGTCCGCCGAAAGTCGTGTTGTATCTGGTTCCGCTTTGGTTCACAGACCCCGGTAAAAAAAAAAAAAAAAAAAGAAATTGGAGGCATATCCACAATGTATTTTTTTTTTTTTTAATCCATCGAAACTTGGAATTTCAGCGCAATACAGCTATACCCTTTATAACGAGAGGTAGCTCGCTCCACCTTGCCTAAAAACAGTAAAAACCTGATTTCCCCGTTCCCCCTTCCAAGCCAATGCGTTTTTACAACAATCACCTGGCCATGAAGGTGATAGACAAGCAGACCTTGTCTGTACACTACCCAGTGCATGCTGCAAGACTTACCTTTCGGCAAAAGTTCAAACCATAGAGTTGTAGTGTACGCTAGAGGTCCAACTAGCGCTAGTGTGCTTTTTCGAATTGAAGCAGAGCCTGAAAGTGACTTGTGATATTTCATTTTTTATGAGGAAGGTGAGTGCATTTTCTCCCTGCACTTGATTATAAGAGCAAATATCCCAAATAATTTTTACGTAATAGATAGCTTGGGTCTTTTCAAAATCATTATGCGAAAACACTGGCCAGTTGCTGCGTTTTTCTTTCAAATTTCTGACATTAAAACCGGTGCTAAGATGGCTTCGTAGATGTATTTATGTACAGTCCGCCACTGTTAGTGCCAAGACTGCATCGGCGATTTTCTGCAGGGAGGTTTACGAGCCAAAGCAATGAAGAGCACCTCGAAAATAAAGAGATGTGAGGCAGTACGCTCAAACAGATGGGTCAGTCCCTACTTGTGAACGTAGACGATCAAAATAAAGACAAGTAATAAGTGCCATTTACAATAAATAACATTTAATTTATTCATTTTGCTGTTCATGTATGGGCAAAAAGGGAAACTTGTTTAAGCTTCCAAGACTCATATCTAAATGCTCGCAAAAATTTAATTTGAGGAACAGCCAGGAAACTCTGATTGCCCGATAAATTCAAGAGAATATAAAAAGGGAAATATCTTTTATGGTGCCCCTACTTTTAATGTTTTACGCGTTATAACTAGGGGTGTGCGAATACTGGAAGTTTCGAATACGAATCGGATACGAATAAGGCAAAAAACTGACTTCGAATATCGAAGTGAACGTCGAATATCTGTCCAGTAATAAAAAATGAACAACAAGGGGTAACAGCAGCTTTTATTACCCTTTTAAAATAAATTAATGAAACTGCATTTTACTGGGCTGCAGCAGCGAGACATACTCAAGTAATGCACTCATTACAAATTATCAGGTAGGAAAATTAACCACTCAACATGTTCAGAAAGTGAGCGCTCCCTATGCGCCGTGACAACATTTCCGCCAGTAGAAAATACCCTTTCACTCGGAACTGATGTAGCCGAGATGGTTAAGTACTTCTGAGCGAGTTTGTTTAAAAGCGTATACTTGCCGCGGCCAATGCATTGCCATCACTCGAAAGGATCCTTTACCCTGTCCAGAAGAGGCTTTTTGGACTTAATCTGTAACTTCCCTTTCTGGGGCAGATGCCAACTGAGTTCTCTCTTTGTTCATTACTAGATGGTCAAAAGCGTTCCATACACTGGATGCCACCAGTGAACACGAAGACGACACTGCAAGGCAGTGTCCCTACTTGGTTCCACGTCAGCTGTCTGGACCTTCCTTGTCACAAGGTATTTTAGCCAGATCATATGGCCAGACGCCTGATGAACTATGGCTTTGAAACGATGCTCAATAAACATGGCCAGGCTGGCCACTTCATCAAAGTCAAACTCCGCAAAGCGAGTCTTGATACACCTTTTTTTAGATTGTCAGCAAACCCCTAGTTAGTTCTGCAACCATAAGAAATGCAGCATTCCAAAAATATTTGGAATTGGACATGACAATGAGGGGTACGTTTCAGCAATCGTGATCACAGTTGCATCAAACAAGAGCTTAAGTGCCTCTACAAACTCCACTGCACCTCTCCAGTCGGCAGATTCAAAGCCATCTATGGCAGTGTCTGAAGGGCAAGCTCAAAAGTGATTACTTCTTTGAGTTCGAGGAGCCTTGACAGCATGATGTACTGACTATTCCATCTTGTGTCAACATCCTGGGCAACATGGAAGACGTCTGTCTCCACTGCGTCTGCAGATCGTCCAGTCGTTTCTGCGTCCTAAAATCGATCTCGCCTTGTTGCGCAGTTTGTTGATCGGCGGTGTACACGTCCACGCATCGCTGATCACCAACTGCACCACGTGCACGAAACAACCTCGCTTGAACCATGGGAGCCACTTGGCAGCCGCTCGGATATTGCGGCCGTTTTCCGTCACAATGTACTTCACGCAGTCGGTTCGTATCTCCCTGGGCCAGAGGGCGCATAGCTGTTTCAATGAAGCAGCAATGTTCACTGCCATGCGGCTCTCCGGCATATGTCGCGTGTTCAAAGTGAACCTTTTTATCTCAAATTTCACGGTAAGAAAATGACACGTAAGGCTTAAAAAAACCATCATTGGCACGCGATGTGCAGATATCGCTCGGAAAAGAGAGAGTGCTTGTTCCGGTCATCAAGTGTCTTTCGCAGCTCAAACCGTACCTTTGCGCTTGTGTCGTCGTACAGGCGCGGGTCGAGCACGCGCGACAGATTTGTTGGAGTTTGCATACTGTAGCCAAGTACCGCTTCTTTCATGAGTGTCTTGAACTCCCGGTCTTCAGCAAAGCTGTAAAGCTGGAGATCTAAGGCGACCATCTCTGCCACTTTCTGAGAAGGTGCGTTTTCTTTCTTCTGTGAAGGGAGCTGCTTTCTCTGTTGAAATATATCATCTTGGGACACAGCGCGAACAACAGACGTGGACGAAGAAGAAACACACGGGACGAGCGCTGACTATCAACTGAAATATTTTAATAGGAAAACAGATGAAAACGACCATTCATCTTTTGCAGTTCACCCCCCGTTTGCGTATTACGAGACACTTTCATAGCAGCGTGATGGCACGTGTTGCTATCCCAAATTCAAAAACGCCACCTCACTGTCCATCAGTGCCAAAGACGGTTGGCTGACACACGAGGTTCCCGCCCTTTTTATTTGGTACGCTTCTACTATTTCTCTAGACACTTGGTCCCTGTGCTTGAACAAAACTTTAGTGTCACTGAATCTCGGCTCACAGTTACAATCGCGACAATGCATTGCAAGATGAGAGTATGCACACCCCTTCAACGAACTATGGTGCTCTCTTAAACAAATGTTCAAACAGCGCCCCGTTTGGCCAATATACACCCGCCCACGTGAAAAAGGTAACCGATACACTGCTCCAACGGTCATGATACGAACTGTGTGCCATGCTTTACAGTGCAACCATAACTACTCGGATTTTTCCGCTTACTAACACGCCTTTCTATGGCGGGGCAAATCTGGCTCAGCTTATTTTTGGCCGAAAAAAGGACACTCACACCGTATCTTGCTGCGATCCCCTTCCACCCCTGCGAAACGCGGTGTACGTAAGGAATGGAAGCCATTTTCTTTTTGTTATTCCCTTCCCGCTCAGCACAGTTTGTTGCTGCATTGTCCCTGAAACTCTTCTTTACTTTTTCGCAGGCTGCGGTAATCACCAGATCTGGAAAACCTGCTTCTCGGAGCCTTGCTATTTGGTCTAAAACGCTTTTCTTCGTCCATGTCTGTTGTTCGTGCTGTGTCCCAAGATGAATTCCCACCAACTCCCCCAACTATCCATTCTTCGAAATATATCATCCAGAGTCAGTTGACTTTTCAACAGCGTGTCCGCAGTATCTATTTTCTACTTTTCCATCAACAAAGGATGCTGTTTCATGTAATTCTGAAGAGTTGTGGTTTTTCTCGTCGGCGTTTGAAGAACGCGTTCGCACGACTTGCACAGAGCTGTCGATGACGACACCGGACAGTACCGTCATGGAATACTTTTTCCGGCTTTCTTTTCCTGCTTGCTCGGTGGCTCATCATCCGCAGTTAATGCCATTCTCGGACGATACGCTCAAGCGAGGACGGTATCAGCCACTTCGGTATCAGCACCGAGAGAGTTGCGCAGCGGCGCAGCTGGCGTGGTTTACGTTTTGGCTGCGCGGGAGTAGCAGGAGTTGTTCTTGATGGCGATGGCGATGCACGAGATCTGCTGTTACCTAGATTTTTCTGTTCTTAATTTTCAAACATTTATATTAAATAACACTCTCGAGATTGAATTTATATTCATATTTCACTCTCGAGGTTTATTTTATTGTATGAATTTATAGAACGCGGGATTGCATCAGGCATTGCTATAAAAGTGCCACCAAAAAGGGGCTTGGTGAAAACGAAATCCAAACTGATCCTGTCTTGCCGCTATCGGACAGACAGAAACGGAGCAGACCGTTAACACACGCATCATAGGTATTTCTCAGTGAACAAACATATTCATAGGGATTGCGTGGCAGGCAGGTTTATAGTTACTTGCTCGAGTATTAGCAGTTTGTGAGAATATTCGCCGTTTTTACCAAATATTTGGCCGCAACCCAATATTCAGGAACTTTCGAATATGCAAATACGCTTCGCATAACGAAAATATTCGATTCGTATTCCAAATTTCAAATATTCACACTCCCCTCGTTTTGACCGTTTGTAAATGAGGGTGATTTAAGTACCATATATCTCGCAGATTATCACTATTAGCGTCATTTGTATATTGGTGCTCCTTGAACAAGTATTACGTTCTTTTCGACTGTTATTCTTGATTAGATCCACTGCTTGTCTTTACACACTTCCTATGGAACATAGTACTGGACCCGGAATACTGGGAAGTTAAACATCGCTCACTGTCAGGAAAAATAATGTATCTAAAGCAAGTAAACTTTTATATTGTTAATAAAGCAGCCTACTATTCTCTACGACCCAGTAACAAAAGTAATTTCTCTTATTCTTTGGCGAAGAGACCAAAACGCAAGCGCGTTTTCCTATAGTAATGTACACGAGCACCGCAAAAGTGAACTGGTTGCTATCTCCTTCAATTTCAAACCCTATCTCCCATAGACTCTAGCGCCAGTTGAACCTCTAGCGTATGTTATAATAACTATATGGTTCAAACCACGACTTACTATAATCCTGACAGCCCAACAAAATGGATGTCTATGAGAGAGATTGTGAAGTCCCGCTATTACCGTGGGGGGCGCTTGGCAAGGACTTTTCTAGTTTTTCTGCGACCCAGAGGTAGTTGACAGCCTGCCTAGCACACGGAGCGCAAGCTCCGAACGGCGCGCGGCTGGTGATGTCTGATTGCTCTTTCATGCGAAACACCTGCGGTAGCATGATGCGAGCAGCCTGCAGCCGGACGTGGCAGGACGCATCGCTCTCAGGTTTGCTTGGATCGAAAGAGCGCATTTCCAAGGAACGGAAGCCCAAGGGCATATTTTAGCTCCGATTTCTCTCGTGCCAGAATAGCTATTGACACTATAACATCATGGAATGAGGCGCGTCCTCTGATCACCTACACATAGCCCCTGCGCTGGCAGCCGGAACCTCCGGTGACGAATCCGCCACACGTTCAACGACGAAATCCCACGAGGGCCGTGAGGAGACCAGGTCAAGACCAAATAACGCCGCCGCGCCTTGAGCGCCTTCGATGGATTCCCGGACACCGTAGGCAACAAAAAGTCCCTTGCATAGCGTCGCGCAACGATATAGCGTGTCGAAACGCAGCGGCCGCAGCCTGTACCACTAGGCGCGCGCTGGCACAGTCTTCTGTGGGCAGGTCAGATTACAGTAAGTTGTGGTCGAAACACCCAAACGTTACAAAATGCCTTTAAAAAAAAACAGTGTCTTTTTTTTTTTTTTTAAGGCATTAAGCGGAACTCGCCAAATTGGATATTACGCAAACGATTTGTTAAGCATTTTAAACTGAACAATTATAAATATGTATTCATGTGCTTTCGGTCTTTTCTATACTACAGAATACCATAATATTATGGCGTTGCTATAATACTCAAAATATATCTGCAAAATGGCTGATGAAGAATATTGAAAGAAATAAAACTTAAGTTTGTTAGAGACTAATTTAAGAGTCGGAAACAATTTTCAAAACAACCTTCTATATTTTTGTATGATTTCCAGATGCTCGGTGCGTTGCACGGGAAAATGTTTGACCATAAGTACATGAGCCTTTCTCAAAATACGGTACCTATAACAATATTTGCTGGTACTCCTGCAACCTGCACAGCAATCCAGTTATTATATTCTGAAGAAGAAACAAACAGTTTTGGTGAACTCTGGGTATATTATAAAAAACTCGACGGAAAAAGGTAAGCTTAATGTTTGTCTAACATAAGCATATAAAATAACACCCTCCGAACCCATCCTTTTAAAATTTTCAGGTACATTGACACAATAGGGCTCACGTTTACAGCGGCGTATGAAAGCGGACTGGGAAACACTTTCCGTTTCAAGTTTTCGGAATCAAGCCAAAATGGTATGGAGGAAAGTTCATTTTAAGCATGCGGATGGGCTCACAGTTATGTCTATGTATATATCGCATTCGATAATTAACTTAAAAAAGATTAGTGTTTCTTTTAAAAGAGATATAGAGAGAGCGAGAAAGAGAGAAAGAGTTATGTGAGCACTTAGATTGCAGTTTAAATATATTATTTTGTGTTTTCGAATGCGTCCGATAAAATCAAACCGCATACTCACCATTAAAAATATTGCATATCCAAATTCATTTGAAATATTCCAAATTGGTGGTGCCAGTGTAAAGACTCGGTTGGTCTTTTTCTTTTTTTCCCGGAATTCTGAGACAGATTATTGCGATTCCTTTCACATTCTTTGTTATTTCCACTTTTGTTCCTGTTTGTTTCAAGATACAGTATCTGTTTTCTTTACCCGTACCAGAAGTACTCGACAATAGTCTAACATGTCTTGTTTTTCCAGCCGCTCAACTTAGGCATTTTTCTTGGGCAAATATATTTTCTAGGCGTCGACTTGACTTTCCTTTTTCTTATATTGTTCAAAATAGAACTTATGCACACGTTTTGTGATCCCATTCCTGTTGATAACAGGGACAGTCTGTACCAAAGCTTTTCACTGTACTATTCTGTTTTATTACTTTGCAATAAACCGCACCTTATTCTATTTTATTTATTTATTTATTTGTACTTTTCCGGTGCCCCCTAAACAGCCCGGGGGCCTACATAAGGGTACACCGTTTACACATACATGCAGTGGTGCATAAAGGGCAGGTACACAAAAACGCATGCATATTATGAAGAAAATCAAAACGTAACATATAAATGTAAAAGAGGAAACGTGCATGAACTTAGAGATAACACTTTTCACTAAACGACATACGAGAAAACACACCCTATAAAAGAATTAGCAGAGACTGCATATAAAAACACTCCCGCAAAAAGATATTTACATCGGGCATGTCCATCACAGTTGGCAAGTTATAATGTTCTATTCTATATGCTATATGTGTATATGCTATATGCTATATGCTATATGCTATATATATATAGCTACAAGCTATATATGTTCGATAGGTCTAAAGCTTTTTTGCTCAAAAGAACAAAAAACACAAAGGGAGCGAAGAGATGCCAGGTACAGCAATGGAAACGCATAAGGTTAGTTCGGGCGATCGATTAAACCGCGAAGACCTTTGTGCACAAATAAATTGTCCCGTGCCTGCCTCCTTTTGGAGAGGCAGTGGAGGTTTAAAATCTTTAACAACTGCTTATGGCTGAAATAAATTAGTGTGTTAAAATATCGATTGTAAAGCAGGTGAACGAATTTCTTTTGTTTATTTTCAAGTTTATTTTAGTTTGTCTGGATTAGACTATTCCAAACAACGCTGGAGAAATCCAGTTTAGACAGGATGAGGAATCGATACAGATACAAAAAACAAGAATATCCCCTGATATCTCGCGTCATTCTAGTATGCGCACCCAGAGTACGGTAACACGCATTGCTCAAAATGCCACGAGATCAGCGAATTTCAATTCACTGTTCAAGAAGACTCCTAGATCACGTACAACTGAAACGCGCTCAATCAAGCACTTGTTCAAAGTGTTGTCAAAGATGTTGCAGGAATGTTTTCTAGAAAAATATAAAACTTGTTTTAGCGCGGTTGAGAAGCAAGCCGTTAACTGTGCATCAATCTGCCAGTGCTATAAAATCTCGCTTTAGTTTATCGCATTCAGATATGTCAACAATAGCTAGAAAAAGCTTACCGTCATCGGCGAGCTGTAATATTTCCGAGTGATTTCTGCATGAACAGATATCGTTTACGAATAGAGGAACGCGGTCGATCATTCACCTCCGTACGCAACAGAATTGTATCGGTCATGTAGATAATTCTGAATCCATTCGCAAAGTGGTAAGGAGAGACCATAGGGCGCACGTTTTAATTATACAATGAATGGTTAACCATGTCAAAAGCATTTTTAAAATGAAAATAAATTGCGTCAACCTGCTGCTTCGACTCTGTTTTGGCACCCACAAATTCTGTAAACGCAATCGAATTTGTTTCCACAGAACGATTTGGCATAAAACTATGTTGTTGCACATTTATACGCCTGGAAAAAAAGCGCATATGGCAATGCATGGCCTTTTCGAACACCTTGGCAAATGAACAGATCAGTGTATTTGGACGATCATTACTGACAGATACTGCTGACCCATCTTTGAGTATTGGCACAACTAATGAAAACTCTCATGCAGTTGGAAAAAGCCTATCTTTCAGCGACTAATCTAAAATAAAATTAAAATTGGAGGTTACACGTCTCCGAACCCATTAAAGGGCAACTCCGCTTCATTTTTCATATTTAGAAAACTATGTAGCCCTCTTCAGTATCATATAGGAAGACCCCATGTCAAATATTAGAATCTAATTCCGTCTATATATTTAATAAACTGGCCAGCAAACCTTCAAGTGAGCCAAGTCGCCGAAATCTGCCAACTCCAGCGTGCGACGGGAGGCGCAATCGTCAGCGCAGTCAATGCGACGGAGTTGGAGCGGCCAACGTTGAACCATTACGTCAAAGGCATGGCTACGTCATCCTCGCGTTTTGTTTGTTTTTACTTCTCAGAGCGAAATTGAACGGTGACGTCATGAGTTTCTCCTCCCGGCGTTGGCTGAACGGCGTCCACGTGATCACCGTAACGCGGATGCGCTAGTTTGCGCTGCCCTGCGCTCTTATCGGTCTGTTTCTCCGCTCCCCCCCTCCCCCGGGCCATCACCGTCCACGCCATGCGAAGCGACCTGCCCGCGTCGCCTGTCCTGTCCGTCGCCCCCACGAACGTCGCAAGACCACGTGGTTCGACGTGACGTGGCCATGACTCTGACGGCACGAGACCAATGTTGCCTGACGCAAACAAAGTTTCGGTTTCGGTATCAGCTGATGTTTAAATTAAGATTACAGAAATAATATTCCAGATTTCGCGAATCCGAGGACGTAGAGCTGTTTAGTAGTGCTTTGCGAAATGGAATCACATGTAAGCCTACATTTTTCGGAATTGAGCGGGGTTGCCCTTTAAGTCTAAACGGAAGAATTCCGTTGGCTTCACCGATTTCTTAAGTGGCATCGCCTTGAATCGCCGCAGAAACGTCGTTATTGCTGAGCTCGGGAATTGATAAGTATAGGTTTTCCTGGTCCGGCACCGTGCAGGTTTGAAACGTACTTCCCGCGGAATCAAAAACAGTAGAAAAGAAATCTGCAAACGCTTGACAGACGTCACTCGGACTACAGACCTGTTCTGAACCGCTAGATAGTGTTATTTTCTGTTCCGTTTTCTTTTTATTTGAAAATCTTTTGTATTTTTTCAAAAACTTTGAGGATTTTTTTTTTTTTTTGGGGGGGGGGGGGGATTTATGCAACACTTGAATATGGTTTGTTGTGGTTACGATGATAAAGACGCTTGGCCAAAGCACTCTCCGACTTGAACTTTTTGTACCACAACAGATTATCCGTCTGCGTGTAATGTCTGTGATAGCGTAGCTGTTTCCTCATTGCGTGTTTCGATTCGTGTGAAAACCAAGGAGGGTAGTGATTTGTGATACTATGTCTGTAAACCGGAATGAGCATCTTCATAGCTGTTGTCACTTTGTCTGTTAGCACTAATACTTGTTTATCTATGTCATATTTCGATGACGTAACGACTGACCAATCTGTGCTAGCTAAAAACTCATAAAGCTTTAGGTAATTTCCATTTGAACACAAAAAAGCTGTCGCACGCAGATATGCTGTACCTTGGCTATTAGCTATATTGAAATCGACTCCAAACCGGACATGCCAGGGGTCAAAAAGGACAAGCGGGGTGCTAGCCTTTCGTAGTATACATTCGTCATCATTTGGAAAGAACAAATCCAACACGTTGCCTTTGTGGCTAAGTAGAAACATTTTTTTTTTGTATAGTTCCTAGTAGTTCGTGAGCTGAGATAAAACATTCGCCTTCTTTTGCACCTCTGAGTCGCACGAGTTTATAATACCAGTGTCCCTTTTCACACCAGGCAAGTTCAAATCGCCCGTAATAAAAACACGGTACTTTGCGGAGTTCATGATGCTCAAAGTGTGATCAAGGATTAAAGGTGCAAAAGGCGCATTGCGGAGGGAAATAATAATTTCCCAGAAGAATGTTCGGTTGTTCTTGAAGAAGCATTTCGACCCACACGGATTCCCTCTACGTTTTCATATCAGTTCTGCGATATAATTCAATATCGCTTCGAACTGCTATCAGAGCACCACCCCCGGGAATTTGGTTACAACTTTCATAATTTCTGCCTGCGCGATAGACTAGACCAGGGGTGGCCAGGCTGACCCGGCTTAAGAGCCGGAAACAAACCCCCGAAACTACCAAGAGCCGTGGGGGGGGGGGGGGGGGGGGGGGGAGGGGAGGGGGGGGGGGCAAACTTTTATCTATCAAAAAAGAAAAAAAACTTTTGTTCAGAGCAATAAACGAAACTCGAACTACTTGCAACCTATCCGAGTCAAAAGCAGTCCAGTTGTACGTAAACTAGCAGTAGAATACGACCACCAAACCGCAACCTCTCTCAATTTAAAATGCGTTCCATTTTTCTTTTTGGGGAAGTGCTCATGTGACCGGGAGGGAGACGGGTGTGTGTGTGTGTGGGGGGGGGGGGGGGGGGGTGCTATGGGAGGGAGCCGCGAGCCGCACTTTAACACGCGAAGAGTCGCATGCGGCTCGCGAGACGCAGCTTGGCCACCCCTGGACTAGACGCTGGAATGGAAAATATTTGGTACTAGAAATATTCTCCTGTTACCATGTCTCAGTAATACAGTATCTGTCGTAGTTTGAAGCGATACGATCTTCCATGAACTTTGTAGCTGTTCCGCGTATGCGTTCTGGTAATTCTGGTAATACAATGTTCTGGTAATTCTGGTAATACAATGACAGTGTGAGTGCATTATCCATCGGCGTTCATGGGTTGGTTCCTTGTTTGTTCAAAACGCATGTTGTCCTTTAGGGGACCGTAAAACGGCCGGAATAGACAACCGTCAGGCCTCAGTTCAGCGTCGCTGATGGCGTCCAGCTTGTCATCATCTATAGCAATGTGGAAGGAAGAATAAGTGTCGAACTTGCTTCGCAATACGGTTCACACGAAACAGGTAACGTCTGCAACCGACGTCAACAGTTCACAATCATTTTTAGAGGATTTATTCGGGTGAACGTGGGTGACAAACAGAGCCCTTCGTGAGCATTTGGCGCTTGAGATGGCGGACGACTTGCCTTTGACGGCCCTCATGGCGCTCTTCTTCCGTCTAACTTCGTGGTAACCACCGTTGTCTCCACTTGTCGTAGCGTCGTTGGCGTCGATCCATCGGCCTTTTGTGACGTGGGATGTAGCACTGGCACCAGGATGGAAAGCTGTCGTCGCACCGCTCCCCTGCGCCACGGAACATTGGACAGTGCCGGCCAACTTGCCCAGTTCTGCAGGTTTCTGCAAAGTGCCGGTGAACGTAGTTTGTTGTTTTCCTGGTGGGGTGCACGGTGGGGGGGGTCACGAAAGCAGCATAAAGTTCGTTCACGGCGTCCAACGTCATATTCGCCTTGGCTCGTAGCTCGCCGTTTTGGTCACGGAGCACAGCTATCATTTCCTTTTGAAATGAAACCACAGCTGAGAGCTTGTCTACGCTTGCGAGCAGGAATTCCACAAGGCCGAGAAGCTTGTCTTCAGTATTCGCCTTGTAAGCCACTGCCGGTGCCGTTATTATCTTGGCACCAGCTTATGTGGAAGAGGGGAGCGTAATTATTATAATGCAATTAAATGCAAAGGTGCAAGCGAGCTGGCGGTCGCGCACCAGTCACTTAGCTGTGTTTGGAGATTTGTGTTTGTCCTTTGTCCCTCTTTTTCCCCTTCTCCAGGGATTATTTTCGTCAGGGGGGCCTGTCGCTTACCACATTTCGTCGCCCAGTGCAAGTTTTGCATTTATATTCGCTCCGTCCGCTTGCCATCAGCACGTCGTAATCTTCCGCGACTACATTGATACATTTACAATGAAACCGCTGGTCACAGTCGCCGAAAAATCCTAGATATTGCTGCCTGCGAAAGATTATTTCCGGAGCAGGCGGCGCACACGTCCTCCACCCGCGCCATCTTGATCTTGATACGTGCTTCTTGTTTTTGCACTGCTACCGAAAACAGCCGAAGTTCCTGTCTGTATTGTGCCGTATACTGTGATCCTTATTCTATGATCCACCGAAGCCAATCCGGAGCTGGGAAGATGTCAGGTAATATTCCAATTGGGCGGAACAACGCGCCAAGCGCAAAGTCACATAGCTGGCGTCGAATGCTGCATTGTTTAACATGGATCGTTGATTGCGTTGAGGTAAGTACATCCTATGGTGAAGATTCACATTTTGTGATGGACAGGAATCGAAGGTTAGCTCCTGAATAAGACAAGCGGTACATTTGACTCGGGTACCTTGCTTATGTAATAAAAGACTAGAATAATAAATTCTCGTAGTGTTGTTTTGTACCCCTGAACAAAAAAAAAAAAACTTTCTTTGTACGATAAACTAACGATAACTAAGACTAAGATTGTGAGGTAAAAATAATATCTGAACAGCGCGAGGCACGGTTTAAACTGATCAACAGAGCTACGGTTTTTCAAGCTGGGTTTGTATCGGTTGCTCTGTCTTACGTGATAAATGACTGATTAAATGCATGCATCTGCGCAGGTCACACCTTTAAAGGAGCTGAATTTCAAGTTCGCCGCCACAGTTCTTGTTACAGCTTGAAGGCATCATTAGGGAATCGTATGTAAACTCTTGACGTTTTGTAGTGTTATGGAGTTTAAGTTGCTAGGTGTGATCCATCTTTAAGAATAGAACAGACTGCCAGTCGGCCCCGTGACGTCTGCGAACATCGTTGTCGTTCTCAGTCAGATGCGCGCGCAGATGGCACGGGGCCGACTGAGTTCAGTGTTGCGGAGTTGCCACTCCGGAGTTGGAAAGATTCCGGAATCATTCCGCATTTTCGGGAATTCGGAATGGAATGGGAATGGCATGGCGGCAACGTTGAGGGGAATGGAATGGGAATGGAATGGGAATGGAATTAGATGCCTTTTTCCCGGAATAGAAATAGAATGGGCCAGGTTCTTTATATTTTTTTTTGTGGGCGGGGGGCGGGGGGGGGGGGGGGGGAGGGTTACGTACAGCTAAATCAAGCCGGTCAGCGAGTCAGTTGCTCAAAATAAAATGAGCGGGAAACTGCTAGCCCGCGTGTAGCCCTAACAGACTTATACGCAAAAAAAAAATGCATTACAAAAAACAAGCCTCAAAGCAAAGACCAGAGGGGGGAGGGGGGGGGGGGCGTTTTTTACGGACGCGCAGGCCGCAGGCGACGGGCTTCACTGGTGTTACACGAGAGCGAAACAAGAAACCAAGCACCAAGCAAAAAGAACGAAGGGAGCGGCAAAGCAAGAAACACGCATGCACGGCTTCTCATCGTCCTTCTTGTTCAGAGATACAATAGTAAGGGTGCAGGCGAGCTGGTGGATGTTAACCATGTTGAATATACCTGAGACTGGGGTAGAAAAACATAAAAGTCGAAGAAACAGAACGGGACAGGACGACGTCTCAAACTCAGCTGAGTTTGAGACGTCGTCCTGTCCCGTTCTGTTTCTTCGACTTTTATGTTTTTCTACCCCAGTCTCAGGTATATTCAACATGGTCCTTCTTGTCTCGCTTTTTTTCTTTGCTACCGCATGGAGAATGCACGCGCGCGCACAGATTGAGGGAGCGGGTGGCGACTCATAACTCGCAGTGCTCTGACACGGCCACTCGATTAGGACTGTAGGGGGTCGAGTGGCCGTGGCTCTGATAACTCGTTGACTCGCGCGCTGCCGAAAGATGATCAGTTATTGTTTTGCTTTTTTATAGTTCGAGGAGCGTTGTCTAGCAGGTGGTCACCCCTGCTGCCTTCCACGTTCATTCGCGTGCACTCCTTTGGAGTGCGAAATATGGGTTTGCTTCGGCATTAAAACAAAGTGAGATTCACTTCTGTTCTCCTCTTATGCTTTGCTCCGACGGTTGTTTTTTATACTGCACTTTTACGTGTAAGTCCGCCTTTTACTTGGTGTTTGTTCCGATGCTTGTTTTCTGTGTTATATGTTTTAAATTCAAGTGGGTTAGGGTTACGAAAAGCTAGCGGATTCCCGCTCATTTCCTTTGACTTTAGTCTCTGCATACTTCGTTTCACCTTGCGATGGACCGCTGCGGACGCTACAAGTCACTCCAGGCAATCCAGAACCGTGAGCTTAGTAAAATCCGTGCTTTTTTAGGCCATTTAGCTTCTTTTTTTTTTTTTTGCAATGATCCATGCGCTTGATAATAGCGACTTTATGCTGCTTATGCCGGCAACACATTGAACACAATGCAGCTGTCAAGTGCCAATTTTTACGTTCAACATATTAAAGGAATGGAATGGAACGATTCAGCCATTCCAGGAGTGGGAATGGGCCCAGTGTCCCCATTCCTAGGAGTTGAAGGGAATTGAATTATCGAACACTCTAATTCCCCGGAGTGGAATTGAAACGAAATGGGGGTGCCCCATCCACAAAACTGCGACTGACTATCTGTTTTAATCTGGCCATGGGACAACACTTAGCAAATTCAATTCCGTAACTATATTCTCACGTTTTTACATCACTATACAACCCTCTCCTATCACTTGTAGGAGCTGGAGACGAAGACGACCCGCTTGACAGCGGCATATTCGAACTCTTCTTGATTTGCTCGCGGTGCTGAGCCATTGCCGCTTTTTTCCTTTTATTTAGTTACCGGCCTGAGCTGGCCATGAGGGTCGCTAGAGATGCTCGCGTCTGTAGAGAGCTAGTCAGTGGAGCGACCCAAGTGACATGGTTAGAGTTGGATGTGCACGTCGGTGATGGCAACGGTAGATGTTCCACGGGGGATATGTTCAGGGGAATGGCCAGGTATGCTGATTTGACGCGGTCAATGGTGACGACGTCACGACGGCCGTTGATCTCTAAGGTAAAGTCTTCTCTTTGCGATCTAGCGTTTTGAAAGGTTCGTCCTATTCCGGTGTCAGAAATCGACGTATCCAATCACGCCGTACGAAAACATAGGAGCACGAGTCGGGGTCTTGTCTAGCAAAAATAACGTGAGGACACTTCTGAGCTTGAGTAACTAGACGGAGCTGCCGAAGGGTGTGTTGCAGGTCAGCAACGTAGCCGCTAGGGTCCTCCTGAGACTCGAGCGAAGGTGATGAGAATTCACCTGGGACGTGCGATAGGGCTACTTAGACGAGTTTAGCTAGAGAACGAGGCCGAGGAGGACCAGGGGAAGATGGTTGGCCCAGCGTACCCACGGCTCGTGGGCGATAAGGGCTGCCTCCAGCTGGCGGTGCAGCCGTTCCACCATGCCGTTGGCTGAGGGATGATAGGCGGTGATCTGAGTGTGCCGGACGCCGAGGATGGCGACGAGAGTGACGAACAAGTCGGACGGACTGAAACTGCCAACCCTTGTCGGTCATGACCACTGCAGGACAGCCGAAACGGGACACCCAGCCGTCGATAAAAGTTGCGGCGATTGTCTCTGCCGCCATGTCGGGGACAGAAATTGCCTCGGGCCATTGTGTGAACCAATCCATACATGTTAGCATATAGAAAGCTCCTCAAGATAACGGGAGAGGTCCTACTGGGTTCACGTGTCCGTGGGCGAACCTTGAATCTGCTGGACGAAAGGGTTAGATGGGGATGTTGGAATGTCGCGCGATCCTATCGCTTTGTCATTTGAGGCACGTTCGAGCCCAGCCATGCACATGCTAGGCCAGAAGAAACGAGCGGTGGTCGGTTTCTTGGGCCCTCAGATGCCTGGATGACTGTTGTTGTTCAGGTGGCGGAACAGGGCACAATGAAACACTGGTGGCACGAGCGGTTGAAACACACAGCAGTAAACATCCCGCAAGTCACTGTTACTGGCGAGATAGGCAGGGGAACGTCGGCGAACAGTGATCCAGAAGAGATGCGAAAGCGCTGCAGCTCGAGATCATTGTCTTGGGCGGTTGCTAGAGCCTCCATGTCGTCTGTCTGTTCTTATGAGGAAATAGTATCAACCCGAGATAGCGCGTCAGCAGCTGTGTTGTTTGAGCAGCTGACATGACGGAGATCGGCGGTAAACTCCGATATGAACCAGGGGCGCCAGTTCTTACGCGTGGTGTAGTCACGGTGGTTTCAATTGAAGGTGGACTTCAAGGGCTGTGATCGGTGAGAACATGGATGTCTCGGCCATAAGGAAGTGACTAAAGTGCTTGATGGAGGAATACACCGTCAGACGTTCGCGAGTGAAGGTACTGTACTTTTGTTCCCCATGCTTAAGTTTGTAAGAAAAGAATCGGAGTGGTCGCCAGCAAGAGAAGTTCTGCTGAAGAACTGCGCCAACAGCGACACTTGATTCGTCGGTGACAAGTCATAGCTCTGCGTCTGGAATGGAATGAGCCAGCATTGCCGTGTCAGCAAGTGCCTTTTTTCTAAAGAAAAAGTGCGGCGCAGTCCAGGATTGATCGTAAGTGACCGCTGACCATAGATGTCAATGGTTGAATTGTTCATCTTCGCTCCGCTTAGGAGACGCAGATGGTTGTTCCTTGGTGGTAAGCAGACCAGTCAGTGACTTGATCAGTTCGGCACACCTCGGTAATAGTCGACGATGGAAATTGACTAACCCCAGGAAGTCACGCACTTTCTTTAGAGACGTGAGTTGCGGAAAGCCTTCAATGGCCGTAAATTTTCCGTCTAATGGCCTGATGCCTTGCGGGGTTACGAGATTGCCCAGGAATTCGATGGTTCTTACGCCAAGTACGCATTTGTTTTTGTTTATGACCAAGCCGTATTCATCTAATCGAGCGAAAGGAGCGCGCAGCTGCTCCTCGAGCTTGGTCTGTGACGAATTGTGGACCAAGAAATCGTCGAAGTAAGTAAAGACGAAGTCTAAATCTCGAGAGACTTCAGCGATGTTACGTTGAAATGTGTGCGTGGCATTCCGCAAACCTAATGGCATCCTCGCATATTCAAGGAGGTCAAATGGTGTGGTGATGGCGGCCTTTGGAATGTCGGCAGACTCCACCAGAATCTGTCGGTATGCCTTGACTAAGTCGGTCTTGGAGAGTACCTGGCGTCCCGCCATATTTATGGCAAAGTCCTGTATGTGAGTAAGTGGGTAGCGGTCATGTGGGGTGTTGGCGTTCAGGGCACAATCATCGCCGCACGATTTCCAGTCGCCGGGGTCTTCCCTGGGGACCATGTACAGTGGAGACGCCAAGTTGCTCGAAGATGATCGAACGGTGCCTAGTTCGAGCATGTGCCCGCAATCGCGACGAGCAATACCTAGGCGTTCTGTGCACGTACAGTCGACGTGGACGATCGAAAGCAGTGTGGTGGGGAGGGGGTCGGGGTGCTAATGGTGCGCGTGACGGTATGCTTCACCCGTGATATTCTGGTGTGTTGCCTTGTAATGTTTGGAAAACTCGCAATAATTTTCTCATAAGCGAATGAAGCCGAAACCGCTCGCAGTCCAGTTGCCGTATAGGTGTGGAGAGCACACCGTTCACGGAGAGGCGTGTCTGTGAGTCGGTGAGGCGCCGTGAATAGATGTCGTCGGCGAGTTGGTAAAAACTGAGGCAATCAGCTCCCAGAATAGCATGTATATTGCTATTGCTTTGCGACATATCTAAGTCAAAGCAACAAAAAAAAAACCTATTTAAGATTCTGATGAACAAAAACTGAAAGGGGCCCTGAAGTTGATTTTAAGATGATCCTTTCGTGGGGTTAATCCAATCTGCGTGCACTCCAAAAACACAAATTTATAACTGCATAAGTTTATTACTAATAAAAACACGTAGAAACATCGTGACATGCTCCCTATCCTAAGATATTCCAGAACAAGGGACTTGTTGCAATGTTTTTTGTAAACTCTAGCGCACCAGAGTATATTAATTTCTGGTTCTTGGCATTTAACGGCCAGATTGTTTAGTGCACTTTTTTGTTTACAAAATGAAATTGCGTTATGATCATTTTAAGTTAGAGCGTGCATTTTCAGCATGGTAATTTGAATTCGTAATAGGAAACAAAGCCGTTGATTAATAAATTGCTGTTAATTTTACGAAGGCTAGCTTTCTGGACTTCCTAAATACTCACAGAGTAAAGTGTCATTCTCGTATGCGGGATGTTAGTAAGCGAAAACTGATTGCGCGCTAATTTACCTGCCTTTTGGGGCTGTATTCTTTCTTCACGTTTTGCAAAATGAGAATGAAATCTTTGAGCCAACATGACTCGCAAGATAGTTTGACGGTAAAAGCGCACATGGTCAAAATTCTTGTAACTTTGTCAATAGTTCATTTATCAGACTGTTGCGCACGACATAAAAAACCACTTCCATAATGACTCGTGTTCACATATGAATATAGTTTTATTGAAACATGTGCTCGTTTAAAACCCATCGCATTTGAAAACCAGTTCTAGAACCTAAAATTTACACTTTTAAGAGATGGCATATTTTACATGACGAAACAATCAACCAATGTGTTTATTTTCAGAGTGTTTTATTATAGCTCTACTCACTAGCAGCGGTGCCTCTACGCCATACGACTGTGTGCCAAGGGGAATGCAGACATGCCAATATGAAACCTACAAGCTTTCCGAATCAGTTCCATGCCTCGAATACGAAGAGGTAATAGGATTACAATTATATCTGCTTAACTATTTAGATTGCTCTCTCCAGTATAATTACTAGGCATAAATGGCAGAATTTATTATGTGTATGAGAACCTCAGCAACGTTAGTGAAGACAATGTTGAGTAAGAAACCGTACAAACGAAATATTTTACGTGCTAGCAGTAGTGTTTCGGGCTTTCAGATAAATCCGAGAAAATTCCGAAAAACAACCACCGGTAAAATTAAGTTTGATCAGCACACAAGGCCAATGGTACTGGGAAAATGCCACCACAATTATCTTTTTAATCGTATACAAATGTCAAAAGGGGTCTTACCGCTTATCTTGTCAAGATTCATTCGGGAGTACAGATATTTGTACTTTTGGGTCACGACAAAGCCACTGTTTTCTGAGGTCCATAAAGATTGCATAAAATTGGAAAGAGGGACAATTTAAGCTACTCAATTCCATCCTTTACCACCCCACCTCGCGCTGCCGCGGAGTAGTGTTGATGGAAGAGGATGGGATGAATAGGTACGAGCTTCCCAGCGACTACCTTCAGGAGTAAATTTATTTTAAGGTGCCGTCATTTATCGAAGCCACACTTGTGTGCCACATTTGTCGTGGGACAAATTACTATTGCCAATGCCAATGTCACCAATGCCAAATCCAGCTGAACTAATTTTAATTGATAGAAGCGCGTCTTATTTATTTTTTTTATCTAGCGCAGGTTTAGACCCGGATAATTTTTACTTGTATATGGGTAATAGAAAACACTGCGAAATTAAACTCGGAATTTGTGAGAATTGGGAATCAGACGAAAATAAACTCCGTAAACTCCGAATTTTCGCCAAACAATGAAATCCGTACTGAATCCTAGTTATTAGGTACAGTTTATCGATAGTGTGTGAATGCATTTTCCCTAAGAATATCGAGACAGCCAATCAGGGCAAAGAATAAAACTATCCTAAGAAATGCCGAAGCTGAAAGTATCGATAGACCAAAAAAGTGACGCTCGCAGGAACAATAATAGCGAGCACGACGTTTCAGAGATAATTAGCATTTATTGAAAAGGAAGAGGTGGTAAGCCAGCGATTTGTGCCTGCTTGCTGCGCTGTGAAAGAAGGACAAAAAAAGATAAGAAACGATAGTATAGATGAAGGTAGCCAAAAATATATATATAAAAAATAGATATTCTCGCTCATTGTCCCTGCGGACATCGCTTTTCAGATTTAACTGTATTATGAGTTTTTTTTTTTTTTTTAATTTGCTGCGATACTTCCATAGTTCGTTCTTAATTGGCTCTCTTCTTCTAAGGGAAAGTGCATTTACGGCTTTTTTTTTTTTAAATTCGATGGACTTCCACTGCGGAACATTCCCGGGGCCATCAAGGACTCCGAACTTTTACAACCGCCATTAGTAATGATATCCTTGGTAATTGTGCCTAACCTGTAATTTTTATATTGTCATTGTAAATGTTTTTCTGCTCTCCCTTTTTGTAATACTTTCGGGCCCTGAAGGGACAATGTACGGAAATTAAAAGATAGTATCTCAAGATTAACCAAACCGACAAATCTTGTGCGTCCGACAGTCACATTTTCACCAGCTTATAAGTTATAAGGAAAACTTGATTTGCTATATATTTGTTCACCAACTCACTCTCCCGGCTAGATCTAGGAGGAAAGCGTTTGGCCGCTAAACTTTAGAAAAGAAACTTGAATTAAACTACACAATAATTAAAATAAGGCAGAATTTGCGCGCAAACTGGCGCCAGGTCGAAGCAAACCGAGATTGCCGAGCTCAATGGACGTCTTAAGAGGGTCAAATATAGTCAATGCCAGTTCATTACATATCCTGCGTCAGCAGCCAGAGAATAGGCGCCATTTTTTAATGTGTTGGGGGCCTTTAGTTATTTCAATTAATATTTTAAATGTGTCAGCATTTATTGTTCTGGTACTTGCAGCCGTCTTTCGCTTGGACGGTCGTAGTTTGGCCGGGACTTGAATGGACTGGTTTCGTGAGGCTGCGGCGCGGTTCCCGAAGTGCCCTCTCGCTTTGTTCGTTCTCTTGTTACGTCCAATTTCCCTCCTACGTAATAGAGAACGAGTCCTTTCGCACGTTTGCAGTGACGCGATATTGTTGACTCGCACGCCTCTAAAATGTGCCCTGAGGAGATTTCTGAGATCGCCTAAATATGGCGATAACTCACTGTACTGGCTCTAAGCACCCTAGAAATCCCAAGTCATGACAATACGCGACTGATTTTCTTAGTAAAAAAGCAATCAAAGATCGCAACACACCGAGGTCATCTGCGGCGATGGGAGGAGCATGTTCCGAACACAGGACCACTGTCAGCCAATAGCAAGCGAAGGCTCCTCGCGCCTTCGACCGCTGGAACCGCGGAGTGATACCTCGAATGCGCGAGGCTCGTTGCCTATACAGCCCGGACTACAACTCAATCCAGCGAGCGCGCGCTCGACAGCTGATGACGAAACATATCGCACCCGCCGCAAAGTAATCAAAAGAAAACAAAATAAATAAACATATATATATTCAGGGCGGTGAACTCACTACCCATATATATATTTTTTTTTGACAAAAGCGTACACATTTTGTAATTACAGCGTTTGCAATTTCAACGAAAGGTCGCGTTCTCATTGGTCACATGTCGTCCTGGCTGTCAAAACAATATTCCCCGTCTCGCCGGAGATGATCTCAGCGTGATCGATCTTTGATTGCTTTTTAATAGGGAAATCGGCCGCGTATCGTTATGATCTATACATTTCTAAAGTGCTTAGTATCCGCGGAGTGAGTTATCGCGATATTTAAGCGATCTCAGAAATCTCCTCAAGAGCATCTTTAAAGATTATCTAGGTATGGTTTTGAGCAGCCTAAACATAGCGATAACTCAATCTACGGGCTCTAAGCACCCTAAAAGTCTAATCATAACGATGCGCGGCCGATTTTCCTATTAAAAATTTATCAAACATCGAGCACTCCATGGTCCTCTCCGGCGATGGGATCGTACCGGCAACCAGGACCACTGCCATCCAATAGCGAGCAAAATATCCTCAATCCTCCGACCGGTGGAATCGCGGGGTGATACCTCGAATGCGCGTGACTCGTTGCCCATTCGTGGTGAGAAATTTGGGTGTCCCCGCCTGGCACAATATTTTCCCAACCCAGAGTGCTCATATTTCAACTTCCTCTGCTGGCACATGGAATTACAAGCTTCTATGGACGACGAAAATTAACATAATTCTGTGGTTAGCACGCGCATTACACTAGTGAGGAAAACAGAAGCGCCCGTAGTGAGTTTCTCACGGCGAATACAGCTCAGACCTTCATCGAGAGTCGTACTACAGTGGCCTAGTCAACCTGCCCGCTCCTGAAGCTTTCCCGAGCACTTCTGCGATCGCGTGCGAATTAGCGCATGTGAGCGTCGGTGTTTGCTTCGTCAAATAGGTGGAGATATCCGGAAGAATCGTAGGAACTGCGTCGTTCGAAAGCATTGGTTTCCCATGCTGAACACGTACCTCTTCACCGTTGATAACGTGCACGTAATTTCTAATTACGTACTGTAGTTCAAAATGTAATTCGCACACAGCAGAGGTATAATCTAACATCTTGTCCGCTCGGTGCATGTGTTTTTATTCCAAAGTTTTCGGCGCTGCCAGTCTTTGGGGAAACCTAATAAAGACATCTTTGGCGCGTCCTTCACGCGAGCGCATCCTGTCCTACAGCCAGTTGCAAACCGGTAGTTTTGCCGGCAAATAGGCATTCTTACATCTCAAACGAAGAGCAAAGCCGCAAGAGAAGAGCAATCACCGTAACCTCACGACAAAGGCACACAGACGAAAACACGCGAACTGCAGTCACCCATTCAACGCCAACACCGAAGCCGAACGTAAACACACGCGGCCCGGCGGATGCAGCCCGCTTCAGGATGGATGGATGGATGAATGAATGGATGGATGGCGGCTATTCCCTTTGGTTTGGGTGGTGACAGTAGGAGTCGACAGCAGCACCCCCTCCGCCCTTGAGACAACGGATATAGACCGCCAAGCCACGAAGCACGAGCAAGAGAGGGCAATGAACTCACTACCCCATTCTATGCCGCTGTAGCCTTACTGTCGTAGCGCCACGTGGCGCACAAAATGAATCGGGTGCCATCGTGCCGTCGCTTCACCGTGCCATGGCTTTTGCCAACCTGACGCCTCTCGAGGAAGAGATGCTTCAATGAAAAGTCGACCTAAGGTCCATCTTTTAGGATGCAGCACCGTTGCACGACGTCGTAAACTCGACCGCAACGCCGCGCCAAGCACCCCGCGAACGAGCCAGTCCACCCGAGGCAGCAGACGCACCCGACGACAGAATAATGCGGCTTGGAAACAAAGAGTGGTAGGGGATACGCCCGTCATTACGACGGGAATACATGGCCTGCATTAACCTCACATCAGTCGCTATTGCTCCGAACCATATACCTTCTTCAGCATACATTAGGCATCATCGAATCTGTTCTTCCTGGCAAGCCCTGCCGAGAGAACAAATTCGATGGTTCGAAATGTATGCTGCAGAAGGTACGGGCAAAGGAACATGGTGCGAAAAAAAACAAACAAGAGCGATGATTCAACTGAGCGAGCGCACGCTCGAGAGCTAACGTGGCTAACGATGAAACACATCACTCCCGCAAAAATAATTAATAAATAAAAACATAGTGCGTTGTTTTGGAGACGATTATTGCAGTATTATGTTCCCCCTCCGCGAAAAGCATTTTTTGACTACTCTTATTTTCTTTTATCATCTACAAAACCATACACATCTTGTAATAACAGCATTTGCCATTTCAAAGAAATGTCGCGTTTTCATTGGTCACATTTCGTCCTGGCTGTCGGCAGATGCTCCTTCCATTGCCGGAGATATGACCTCGGCGAGTTCGATCGTTGAATGAAGTAAAGTTTACATTCGGGCTTGTTGGTTGTCCAACACATTGAGGTATTTAGCGCACAAAGCTGAGA